CAACATATGACCTGCCAATCGGAACTGGAACATTTGGTCGGATTTTTATTATCAAAGATAGGCTCATATAGTGTTTTCGGAAGCATCGCCAAAATTATGTTATCTGCCTGCTCACCATCAGTGTGTAACAAATATTCTAGAAAAAATCCCTCTATCGGTGCTATCTCCAAACTTTTTTCAGTACAATATAAGCAGGCTTATGATTTTACATTTTCGCTTCCCTTCATTGCTTTATCGTTTGGATCAAAATATTGGATACTAGCGCTGGTAGCCAGTCCTTTTTGATAAGTCAAAATTGAAGTTGAGGTTTACAAAGGACAGTGTAATTAGAGCCCGCACATAGGCCAAATTATGGAAAGACCTAAGCTTGATAGTAAAGGGATAAAACATAGAGAACACATAGAACGCAAGGAAAAAAATTGTGCATAAAAACCCAAGTTTCAATCTATCACGGGAGTAAAAAGAAGCACACTGAAAACCATCAACAGTCGCACTGCAACTAGGTAATAATTTCGCATTTTGCAACCAGTTTGCTTATTACTGTAAGGTTATCTACTAAAGAAAGAGATAAGCACTTTTGAGCTACATATAGATAACAGTAATTAAGTAATAGGGAGTTTGTTGTTGATAATAATAGATCAGACTTATTTTCAGCAGGCCTCTCATGTCCATTTATTGATCTACCACATGAGGTAGTCAAAAGTACTCGAAACCTTTGGTGCATTTGTATGAAGGATATAATTACAGTTTACAGTAATAAGATTTACTACGCATACTGTACAAAAGTACTATCAACCAGAAGATGTGTACATGTTAGATGCACTAACGGAATCCAGTTACCTATATTTCGGGGGTAATATCTATAGACAAGCAAAGGATATACCACAAAGAACCTCATGTAGTCCGCAAATAGCTGGTACGACCTTAGCATACATTGAATATGATTACATTAGAAAACAGTTGAAGTCATCGAATAGGCAAAATTTAGAGAATCCAAATTATAATTCAGATATTTAGAGGACACTATAGATAGATAGATACTACATATATCTTCAAACGCATCAGAATTTATGAGAAGCTTACCAGGCATATACCATACATCTTGGAAGATAGAAAAGACAAACGATAGCGAGATAGAAGCTAGTTTAGGGGATAGATTGGGGAAAGAATGTGTTAAATTTTGCTTACATAACAAGAGAGATAGTTGTAATTTTGAGTTCACTAGGTATCCTATTGGATAATAATATACCTAAGTATATTCTATTTAATACCCTAATTTCGGAAGTTCTTTAAACATATATAAATTGTTCCTGTTATA